TTTTAATCAAACTCCCAAAAAGGCTCCAAATTTTCGTCGCTTAAATTACATATTCAAATTGAACACCTCATAAATAAATTTAATTCGTAATAATTACAATTCTCAATCTTCATAATTTAATTAACTTGATTAACTCCAATTAGGATCCAATTAATCAAATCTCAATTTTACTAAACTGAATCAAATATTTAATTAAACTTCCAAATGGGTCCGTAATTAAGATTAAATTGATTCAACTTCTTAATTTCTAATTCCAAAATAAGTACTTAATAGAACCATAAATGAATCAACCTCCATAATTTTCGTAAAACCCAGATTAAATTGGAATAATTGGCAATTGTGACGCCCCAAATTTTTAGGACATCATAATAAGATTTAGAACTTAAAATCAATGTTGCCACCAAACATCACTAATATCCATTAATTAACAACCCAAAATTTGAAGTTTTCAAATTACAATTCTAATAAAACTTAAAATTAGTCTCGGTACACAAAAAAAAAAAAGAACAACTACGAAAGAAAAACTAGAGAAAACTAGGAAATATAGGAAATGGTTTGTGGAATTTGGAGACTCTTCAAGCTAACCAAAGCTGAATGTCACCTTGCAAGGCCTTGGTGTTTCCTTCGTTTTCTTCGGTACCTGGCATAAAACGCCAGGGCAACGAGAATGCCAATGAGCGACGAGCTCAGTAATATACTACAACCCAAAAATACCCACTCCGATAATAATACTTACAATTAATGAATAAGGCGTAGTAACAGAATAACATGTAGTATTTAATAAGCATGACAGGAATACCAACAATTAAAATAATAACAATAGATAAATAAATAAAATGGCGAACGGAAATAGTGATTCATCATAAGGAAAATGCACGTTTTTTTTTTTTAAATTCCCACAGATTTAGTTTATCAGATAAATTTAAGTAACTCCCCGCGGAGCACTATTTTCACTCAACCGCTAAGCAATGGCCACGAGCAATTCTGACTCCCCCTTGGTCAAATATTCAAATGTTACTTGCTGTAACTACCAATGATGCCCACGCACCAAAGTTATGTACCCGAGTCGTGACATCACGGTCTGCCCCAAAG